GCTCGCTTTCACAGAAAACCTAACGCTGGTGTAATGCAATGTTTCTCCATATGTTCAAAATACTTAATATATTTATATCACTCAACATTAAATTGTCAAATAAAAATGCATATTTTGCTGGAATTAATCATGATGACATATTAAAACAGTGCAAATGCTTTAGGGTAACATTACATTCAAGTAGAAATGTCAAAAAAGCCATAATCAGTTGTATATATAGTACTTCCACTTATTTTCAATGCCACAAAAACGGCAGTTATATTATAGCAGCATTCTTATACGCATCTTCCTCAAAAGCTTGGAAATAAACGTCACAGGTTCAAATACATACAATTCGTTTTGTTTAGTTTCACTCCCTTTTGTTAAACAGAAATGAAAATCGATTAGATGAGCACAGTTAAAAGGTGGCAACATTAAAGCAATACAAATATTATAGAAAATAAATGAAAATAAACAAAAAGTGTAGGTTAGCTATAAAATAACGGTATTTTAGTATTAGGTAAATGTTGTATGTATATAAACGGTTGTTTACTGTCACCAAATGTGTGGAGAAAATTTCGAAAGAAATAAACGCAGAATAAGTAATAAGTTTGGATAAAAGAAAATGAAATCCAAAATTTTATTTATTGTAAATATACATTTAAATGTGTGCCTTGTGAAAATAATTTAAAATTTTAGCCGACCGTAATCACCAAACTTTTTTGGAAATTTTCAAGTTTTTTTTTTGAATTTTTTTTTTTTTTTTTTTTTTGTTAAAGTAAAGTTTTAGCAACATTAGTTATATTAATGCCATTTAGTGTTAAACATTTTTGAAAACGTTTGGTTTTTATTCAAAATCTTATTTTCGTACAAAGTATGTGATTTTAATGAATCAATATCAAATAATAAACACGCACACATGAAATGAAAAGTGTTGTACCCAAATTATCTATACAACGAGTTATGCAATGATGAAATGGTTTCTTTTGTAAAGATAATATTATCCAATTGTTAACAGCAACACAAATAAAGTTTTTCTAACAAGACAACTGTTTTCAGTTAGAAAGTTTCATGTGACATTGACACCCTTTAGCAGATTTTTAATTTTACAACTGAGATGATGACTTTTTAATTTATTCAACTTTTTCGAACTCAACTCATGGAAAAACATTGCATACGCACTTTAGGGCAGCGCAATTAAAATTTATATATATTGAATATATATTAAATGCAATTTGATGAGTGCGTCAGGTGTTAGTAGTTTGTGTGTTAGATGTTAAAAGCAAACGTAAATAAAGAGAAGTAAACTTAAAATAAAAATTTGCGAAAAAAAATTGTAATCACCATCAAATTCAATTAAAGCACATAAAAGATGCAAAGAGTGCGGGGAACAATTTAACAAAAGGCTTCAAGAAAATATACAAATCGAAAATCATAAAATACAAACCTTGGGTATGATTTGAATCTGTGACGCTTGGGAGGAGGAAGTTTGTTGTTGTTGCTGCTGCTGCTGTTGTTGCTGATTATTCGTATTCGCCGTAGGCGATACCAACATATTCGCCACCATATGCTGGCGACGTTGCTTTTCGACTTGCTGTTGCTGTTGTTGCAATTTTTGATTATTGAATAAATTTTGCTGTGCTAACAACTGTTGTTGTTGCGCTTGAGCTTGTGCTTGTTGCTGTTGTTGGGTATGTTGCAACACAGTCGAATTACCGATAGTAGCACCCGTACTGGGATTATATAGCGTTTGTTTAATTTCAAGTCCAGGCGGCAAATTGAATATCAAACTTTCGCCCACATCATTATCAGTGACATAACCCAATTGACGGTTCTCTTGTTTTACTTGTAATTGCAAGACATTTTTCACATCTTCCGTACTAGCACCACCGTCCGTCGAACCATTTGTATCTTCGATTTTAGTCCAACACGCTGAAACGTGTTGCTGTTGTTGCTGCTGCAGCTGTTGCTGTTGTTGCGGTGTACTTTGTATCACAGACGAATAAGCAACCGTGGCCGAAGCTGGTGAGCCTGCACCTGCAATATTACGTCGCAAGGCCGGCGATTCAGCACCACCACCTGTCTTATAGACAATTACATGAGGTGACACAGCATTATCTACAGCAACTGTGAGTGCTGGTGTTGTGCTGCCAGCAGCATATGAACTATTTACCTCATTCTGATGTATTTGATCGACTTGTATTAGTTGTTGTTGTTGACCTTTGCGTACAATTTTATAATTTTTACCATCAATGGTACAATACCTGTCTCTTATACACATCTAGATGTGTATAAGAGACAGGCATATGAACTATTTACCTCATTCTGATGTATTTGATCGACTTGTATTAGTTGTTGTTGTTGACCTTTGCGTACAATTTTATAATTTTTACCATCAATGGTACAATACATTTCAGCATCATTGTCAATTGCAGCATTGATTTCATCTTGCTGTTGTTGTTGCTGTTGTTGCAACTGTTGTTGTTGTTGTTGATGTAGTTGCGTCTGATATAAAAGTATATCATTATAAGCTTTAAGGTCGGATGGCTTCTCCTGTTTGATTTGCTGAAAATGTGCAACACAGGCGTCGCAAGAATTCAATTGATTTTATTTGACTGTAGTTTATATGTGTTTGTGACTGTAGATGATGTTAGATATTATTTGAGGTTTCGGTGAATTCTTATATTTATGATTTAATATATGTAGGCATACTTGTGCGGAGATCTGATATGCAGTAAAAGGAGTTTTATATTCTTGTTCAAAGATAGTTGAATAAGCTGATATGAAAAATAGACTTAAATACTCTTAGAACCTTCTAAATTATGTTCGAACTTATCAAATTTTAGAGTTTTACTTTCAATCATATTAAAGAAAACTAAGAAGATCAATGTACTTAGCATTACATATGCATATTTTGTATTTCACATTATGTGTGTAAAAAAGAACCAAATTCTTAATATAATAAAAGTCCATAATTTCATTACACCAGTTATTAGTATAATAAAGCATTTGAGAATTTGAATAAAAAAAGAGTAGAATAGAATACATAACACACTTTACGCCTCTATTCAAAGCTATAAAGGTCATAAAACTGATCAGCTAGGTGTAACATATGAAAAACGTTGGCTTTAATCGAAAATTAAACAAATGCAAAGGCTTCGTATACAGACTTAAAACCAAACTCCCCAACATACTACTCACCACCTTCTCGGCCACTAAATTCAGTTGTGGTTGTTGCGCTTGCTGTTGTTGATGTTGCTGCTGTTGTTGTGTTTGCTGCTGCTGCTGTTGTTGTTGTTGTTGCATAGCCAAAAATGTATTGGATATCATCGGCGTATTCCAACTGAGTGTAGTTGATGTAATTGCCGATGTTGTGGGCGATGGCGATGCACCGCTCGACGAGGAATTTTCACCATAATAATTAGAAGCAGCATTATTTGCGGCTGCTGCAGCAGCTGATGATACGACAGCGACAGCGGCTTGATTTTGGAAATTCGTCAATTGTTTATCTAACGTTGATGGTATTTGTATTTGACGCACTGGTGTATTTACAGCACTTGAGGCGTAGTGGGCTGGTTTTGGTTGTGCACTAGCTGCAGCCGCATGATGGTAGATTTGTTGAAAGACTGGATTATATCCGCCAATTGGTGAAGGTGATACAAAACTTCCGCTGCCAGCAGCTGCGGCATTAAAGCTTGCGGCTATACCAGAGTGTGCAGCCTGTAGAAATAGAGATTGGGCAGGCGCCAAATGTGGATGTTGAAAGTCTTCTGCTGATCCAGTGCTGGAGGCAGATGGCACAATACGATTATAAGCATAAGACCATGGGCTTGAATTGGGATCCATATTGACGAACAAAACGGTTTGATAGCAAATATGTGTTTAAGACTATAGAACAAAATTGATTAGATACAGTATACCATATAATAAACAAAAAGAAACATTCAATTGTTGTGGGGCTGCAATTTCAAATCATAAAGCAGAAAAAATTTGCATACGACAACAAAAAAATATATACCTACATATACAGCGCCAAAAATTACCGAGGCATTAAAAAATTATGTTAGTCTACTGCATAACCATTGCACCGTTGAATAAAGTGTACATAATGCTTTATCAAAAATTTCAATGCCGATTATGTCTCAATGCTTCCCCACAACAATACAAAAACAAAACGCACTTGCTTCGCTTCCGATTGGTGTAACATTCAGTGCGAAAAACTTCTAGTTTGGGGATTTTTTTTTTTACTTATCCCGCACTACACCGACACCCGCTCAGTATTCGCAAACCAGTGGAGCACCAGAAATATGTACTTTGTCTTGCGTTATGTATCTAGCTGGATTACGACTGTTGTGGCTGCACGGCAAACGGCTCGACCGGTCGTTCTGTGCGCCGTTGCCCAACGCTATCGCCTTGCGTGACTCGTCGCGTTCTCCTGCAACTCGTTGCGTTAACTTTATGTAGAATTTCTATTTTTTCACTGTTTTAATTGTTTCACGCATCAAACTTCACTTCACCGCTCTTAAAGAAGTTCTTAGGTAGACTTTGCAATTATATTTTTTACAAAAATATCACGTTTTTGTTGTTAATTTTCACTTTTTCGCGTCATCTAATCTGTCTACTCGTTATACTGACCGAGCGCCATTTTGAGAAAAACATTCCCACTCCGAATTCGACCGAGGCTAGCTAGTCCGAAAGTGTGTATTTTCTGCCAGTCAAAGCATGACGGAGAAATGTCAAAATACACGAATACGAAGAGCATTGCACGATTGCAATTATTTTATAACATTTTTATATTTAAAAAATGAGTTTAGCATGTCTCAAAAATATTTTTTTCTCTTATGTTTCAACACTACTATTTAATTCTGTCGATTTGAAATTTTACTTGAGTTACAAATAGTTACAAACAATTTTATATATCAAAGTTTTGTTAATATTTAAACGATTTCCGATACTTCAAGTCATTCTGTCTTTCATATCAGCTGCTAATTGCAATTTGACAATACAATGCAACCGTGATTTTGTTTTTCCCGCGCGTTAGGAGTGAACAAAGTGATTTTTGCAGAAAGTTTGTGTTAGAACTGTTATATTAAATTTTATTAGCATATTAGTAAAATTAGACAAATTAAAGTTTGCAAAAGGTGAGATATTAGCGTAAGTTATTTGTATTTAATAAGTTATGTAGTTACGTTTGTGCAATCAGAAATATTTTAGGAGAAATATTTAGCTGTGCTTATCGCCTTTATTGTGTAGCTTTGTTCGATTTGAAACTTTACGTTGACAAGTGTTATCTCACTCACTCATTAGATCTATCTGACGTATTTCATTGACAATTGCTTGTTAAAGAAGAAGAGTAAACTTTTACGCATTGATTGGGAGAAATTTACTGTTGCTAATCTTTTTTACAAATTATTTTTTGTGTGCTGACTCAACCAAGTGAGGATTAGGTAAAGAAAATCTTAACTTAACTAATTTTTGAGGTAAATATCCTTGTTTAAAGCCGATTTTGTGTTTGTCGAGACAACGTTTCGGCTTTAAATCTGCCTACGTGTTATTGATATACAAAATAAAATGCAATACGCCCCAAATTCTTATTGTCTTAATTCCGTAGTGATAGCTGCCTTACTTCAAAATGGATTTCGGTGATGATTTTGCTCCCAAAGAAGAGGTTGACCCAGCCGCAGAGTTTTTAGCACGTGAGCAATCAGTTCTCGGTGATCTGGAATCCGAAATCGTACCACCTACATGTACTGTTGCAAGCGGTCCGCCAAGCACCGATGGCAATGGTCTCCTTGGTGGCGATGATCTTGCACCCAATGTAGCAGGTGGTGGACTCGGCTCATCCACTGGTAGCTTTGAAATGATAGGTGGAGAATCGAATGAACCCGTCGGTATTTCAGGGCCACCACCCTCACGAATTGAACCGGAAAAAATTAGAAAATGGCGTGAGGAACAAAAACAAAGACTTGAAGAGAAGGATCGTGAAGAAGAGCGCAAAAAAGAAGAGTTGCGCCAGCAAGCTAAACAAGAATTAGATGATTGGCTGCGCCAAACTGAAGAGTCAATTGCCAAAACAAAAGCTGCATCACGTAATGCCGAAAAGCAAGCAGCAGCGCTCGAAAATGGTGGTCCGCTGGAACCGGGTACCGAATGGGAACGGATTGCTAAATTGTGCGATTTTAATCCGAAAGTGAACAAATCGGGCAAGGATGTGTCGCGTATGCGATCCATTTACTTGCATTTGAAGCAGAATCCCATCCCACTAAAAACCGCTTAATTATTTAAAGTGAAACTTCAAAAAAGCCTTAGTGCACTAAAACATTCACATACAAACGAGTTTATTAATAGTATTTCGTTCATAGATTTGCAATATTATCTTGTTTGGTTATTTTTTCTTTTGCATATTGAATTCACAAAAGGCGCTAGTGAATAAGATATTTACCTATTAAGCAAATTTATTTTGAAAAAGTATTGATTATATTAGATTGGTCTATAGATATGGATATATACTGAAATTTCCAATATGTAAATTAAAAAAAAATTACTATTGAAATTTACAACAAATATAATTGCAAACGTTAAAGGCCCAAACAAGTTCTTTCATTTCATATGTGGCAACAAAATGTTTCTTAAATCATTTGGATTATTTTATATAAATAATCTTATACTCTGAAGATGGCAAAAACTCAAATTCATATTTGCGCAAACACATTTCTTCGTCACACAATCGCAGCCGCAGTATGGAAACTCGCGAAGTTTACAAAACGCTGAACAGGTGACATCAGCAGTCAACCATTGTGCCGATGTACACTCGGCATATACAGCTGCTTTTTGTTGACAATCGTTTACGTCGAATTCTTCATAACGCGCTGAAAGAAAAAATAAATGCTTTATTTGCATGCTTTGATAAAAATACTTTATTATTTGACTCTTTACTTCTTGCATAAGTGACGTGGCAATGCAAGTTTATTGCTAACAAAGAAATTGCCACACAAATCGAATGCATATTTTCCACTATATGTTATTTTGACTTAGTGCTGCTTTTGATAACTGGAAAAGTGTGTATGTACTATGTATACGAATATAAGCCAGGATTGGTGGGGGTTTACATGTTTTGCGTTTATTTGGTGAAATAAGTTTTTATGAACATATAGCTACTCTTTTGGCAGTGGTGCATGAAACATTAACTATAAATATTACAATTTAAATTTTTATAATTTTCAAATAAAACAAGAAAAAAAAATTAAATTAATATTAGTTATACAAACGGAAAAGTTAGCGTAAAAAAAAAAATTTAAACAATTTTATTTAGTAAATCCTTTTATGTACCTATACCATGTCTCCTGAGTTTACAAATAAATAAAATTCGCGTGTTTTCCTGATACAATTTAATTTTATTAAAAAAGTATATCTATATTCTAGCCACAAACACATACGCATAAAATGACTGAACATGACTGTGATCTGACGACCTCACCAAAGTCCACCTCCTCGAATAGCTCCAGCAACAGCAGCGGCGACAGCTGCTGTCGGTCAACTTCGGATTCTAGTGACGAATTGCTTTCAACCTGTTTTCGTTCACGTTCACCTTCACCATTGGACGATCATGTAGACAAAGGCTGCGCGAATCTTTTAACAGATAAAACGTTCCACAACGAAATCTGTGCACTTGCTGCGAAACGCAATGCAAATTTGGACAATAGTAGACAAGAATGCGTATTAGATGATAAAAATCGTATTATAAGTGTAGGCAATAATGAACTGTTAACAGATCACGAATTCCTCATGGAAATTGCGCTCTTGGCCACCACACGCAGTGATGATCCTAAAACGAAAGTGGGCGCTTGCATTGTAGATCGTAAAAATCGCATTATTGGCATTGGTTACAATCACTTCCCACCCAACTACACGAGCGACCCATATCCGTGGGGCAAGGATAAATGGAATCACTTGAATAATAAACTCACCTACGTTATACACGCTGAATCGGATGCCATATTCTCCGCACAATCCGCCGATTTTCGCGGCGCCACTATATATTCCACATTGATGCCTTGCAATGAGTGTGCCAAACTTATCATACAGTCGGGCATACGTAACGTTTTCTATTTGAATTCAAAATTATTTGAGAAGTGGATATATAAAGCATCACGACGCATGTTGCATGCTGCACGTGTCACATTGCAGAAATTAGAGTAGTGCACAGCAGCAATTTTGTACATATTTGTGTATTTTAGAGTTTGAATGTTTAAATTTTCAAACTAGTTACGAGTATACGCGCCGAAATGAAGGCGTATACATATAAATTTTTTTTATATGTACTTATGTATGTAACTTATATCTTAGTTTATTTCTTTAGTTCTAATAATAATTTGCTTTCTTATTGCTGCCATGTCCTTGGAGCATTTTATTTTTTCTTAATTATTTTTGAAATTCTACATATATACATAGATTATGTAAAAAAGACTTCCAAAGATAAGGATAAATTAAGAAGTCTCCTCACTTAAAAAAATTTGTACATACATACATACGTATAGTTTTTAAATAAATTTATTACGACGAATTTGAAATGATATAACCGCTGCCAAAATGTCTGTTTTTTTAATACTCTTCCGTTAATTATGGGATTTCTATGCCCTAGAGTTGAAGCCCCTTAAAGTGTGCTAAAATTTCTATTTGCAGTGTTGGCTTGGCGAAGTTTCTCTCATCTCATGTTAACAAACTTCTGAAAGTACATACACTGTAGGAGTGCAATTATGTTATTTTCTCTCTGATATTTATATGACATGTACACATACACACGTACTTCGTATGTATGCAAGTACGTTAGAGTGGGTCGTTTTTTCTATAAAACTGCTTACACGAGAAATGTTCTGTCGATCATTGTGAAGAATGCCGGTCTACAACCGGCTTGGAGATAAATGGTGTTATTGTTGTTGTTTTTGTAGTTGCAGCAGAAAACATTTTTCCAATAATAATGTTTTTCTTTTAACAAAAAGAGTTTCCAGTTGGACTAAATGTTGAGAAATTCAAGATCCACAATATCATATTAATTTAAATTTTGTAATTTGTAAATGATAACTTCATTAAATAACAGATTTTCACAACACAAGTATTTAATTCAGCAAATACGACCCACCCTAATATTATTTAAACAGATGTAGTACATACATACATGCTTATATTGAAATGTTTATTAACCCTTATCAATATGCGTGAATACCATGTAATAGCTAAATCTATAACATTTGCTTGCTATCAACTGCTAAATAACAGTTCAACTGTTAACTTTACAGGCACACGACATGCACGTGCCATTTGCGGGCGCAGAACATGTGAACATTCTGCCAACAGTCACTTGCAATTGGTGTAATAACTGCTGTACTGTGCTCAAAGGATTACTGTTAACATAACAGCTCCGCAAATTCAACAGTGCCATGCTAGCATTCATACGTAACATTTTAACATCTTCGTCTCATCGTGCAAATCGCTTTTCTTTCGCCGGCCCACACACAAACAAAACCATGCGAAACGACCGTGTTGGCATCAGTTTTCCATGGCTTTCAAAGTGGTGCGGACGTGTTTGCCGCAGCTACAACGCGCCATAAACGTGTACCAACAAAATATGTAAACTCAATAACATATGCATATGTGTGTGTCTGTGTGTGCAGGCACGAGCGACGGTAGTGTGCTTGAGTAACGGTACAATAGCGTGCTGAAAGTGTCGCGCGGACGCGGAAGCCAACGCGAATGCGTTGATAAATATTAGAGAAATTGTAAAAAAAGTGAATGTTTTTGTGTTTTTGTTGTTATTGTACAAGCGGCGTGTTTACAAAGTGTCGGTGTCATTTATGAAGTGCAGTTGTTGCTCTTTATTGCTGACTAATCATTAAATATAAATAAATAATAATATCTTGTGTGCGGTAAGGCTGTCTCTTATACACATCTAGATGTGTATAAGAGACAGGTTATTGTACAAGCGGCGTGTTTACAAAGTGTCGGTGTCATTTATGAAGTGCAGTTGTTGCTCTTTATTGCTGACTAATCATTAAATATAAATAAATAATAATATCTTGTGTGCGGTAAGGCTGTCTCTTATACACATCTAGATGTGTATAAGAGACAGGTTATTGTACAAGCGGCGTGTTTACAAAGTGTCGGTGTCATTTATGAAGTGCAGTTGTTGCTCTTTATTGCTGACTAATCATTAAATATAAATAAATAATAATATCTTGTGTGCGGTAAGGCTGTCTCTTATACACATCTAGATGTGTATAAGAGACAGGTTATTGTACAAGCGGCGTGTTTACAAAGTGTCGGTGTCATTTATGAAGTGCAGTTGTTGCTCTTTATTGCTGACTAATCATTAAATATAAATAAATAATAATATCTTGTGTGCGGTAAGGAGCGCGTAAGAGCTTTAAAAGGTGCATACATTTAATTTTTCGCTTGATTTGTAGGTGTTAATTGTGTTTATATTCTGTTGAATGTGTTTTATTTGATTTGTAAATTTATTGAGTATTATGAAGCGCTTAATTATCGAATGAAATCAATTTTATATGCACATAAATAAAAAAAGAGATATAATAATGCCAAAAATATGATAAAAACTTAAAAAAAAACAAAAAATAGTAATTAAACAACATTAGTAGGAAATTGAAAACAAAATATTTAAAATTCAAATTCCTCTTTAAATAAAATTGAAGTATAAATAAATATCATTACAAATATGGATATAAATATTTTAATTTAGTTTTATTTTTTATTTTTTTACTTTTTAAATATAAATAAATGTTTAAATTTATTCGGTAAAATTTGTTTTAAATTAGTTTAAAAAGAATATTAAAAGATATTAACATAAAAAATAACGTTTGAAAAAATTAAATTCAATAAAAAATATTTGCAAATCTATGTATGAAATCTCTCTATAAATAAGATT